GAGACAATTTAGCCGATCCTTTGTTCATGAAGCGCTCCTATGTTCGACTCCACGAACGATCTTGTTCGATTTCGGTTACGAATTCGTCAGCGTTGGTAATAAACGATTCCCATGGCCACCGGCTAGCCAAGAAAAGAAACCAATGTCGATTAATCGATCGATCGTTATAAGTGCCGCGTTTTCGTTAATTGCGTCCGTTTGTGCTTCTTGTAATTACTTTCACCGAAGGTTGAGAGAATTTTAATCAGAATTCTGCTTTAGAGTGGTTCGAGAACATATGACGCGTTCGATTTTTCTGCAGGGAAGAATCGTGTCGAGGATTAGCCGAGCAAAGCAATTAGGAAGTTGAACATGTGTCGTGGCCACCGGTTTAGGTAGCCAGCATTGGCAAAAGATATATTGAAGATGTTCTCATGGAGATGTTTTTGTGTTATTCGCTTGATTATTCGTTCGTTAAAGAGGAAGTCCGTATTCAGACCTTGTTAAGATGATTTATTGCTAGCGAAATTTGTAGTAATTAGACGCAGTGTTGTGTAACGCGAAGGTTTTTCCTCAAACCTGTACTCAGATTTGTCGTTTCTTAATTATCATGAATTTTTTCATTTATGCTAATAATAATTAGTTTTTTTATTCCGCGTCGAAATAAAAAACTGTAATTGACCGTAATTTCTCTCCCTCGAGAGAGTTTAACTTTATGCTTTTCGGTTTTTATCGAGTGCTGAAAACTTTGGGCAATTAAAACCTCTTGTATTGAAAACGAATTAAATCGAAACATTGATGTGTTTTTGTATTAAAAAATAATTAAAAGGCATTTTAATCTTGACTCATAGATTCAATGTATTAAGTGCGACGTAATTGAAAGATAGAAATAGAAAGTTGGTATAATTACGAACGACGACCTGAAAAATAATTGGAGGGAAGTTAGATGAATACTATGACTAAAAAAAAATATTGATCAATCACGGGTTTTTGCGACGAAGAGTTAATGAACGTAGCGAAGATAAACGAGATTTTCGTTGCTTTTTACACGATGCCCGCCAATTTCTTTCATCGACGACGTCTAATTTAATATGAAGTTAGAGCTTGAAACAGAAAGGGAATCAATAACGCTGTCAGCTTCGAGGTATTGAAAGCCTGATGACCATTATATTTTTGTACATTAGAGACGCGTAGGTAATTAAAAATTAAAAAGAGATTGAGGTTTTTATTAAGGAACTTCATTATTTCGATTAGTCCTGGCGCCTTCTTCTTAACAAATCAGAGTGTGATACTCTTATATATGAAACATTCTGTTCAAGATATTAGTATCTCTGTAAAAGGTGTTGGTTTCGTACTAAATTTAACTCGCTATCGGTTCATTGAAGATTTTGAGGGATTTTAAATCAAATTAATTTCATACAGTAACTTTCGCATACTTTTTATCACTTACTCTGTGTGTTATTTTAACAATACATACATGTCGATACATTTATATGCACCTTTCTATCCCAAACAAATGATCCCAAATGTTACGTATCTAACTATCGAATATAAAATAATTCTTGACGCAGACAATTAGCCATAAGAATATTTTTGCATTATTTATCGCCACGAAACTTTAAATAGAATTTAATGCATAATTCAAAAGAGAAATTTTCAATACGAAACAATAACAAAATTAACATGCCATTCCATTTGAGAGGATGACGAGTAGACTCTGCTTAAATGTTCCTCGAAAATATATCGCACCGACTGGACTGACTAACTTTATAAAATAATAATTAAAATCTGTTTGAAATGTCAGCAGAAAGATATTCGTCTGTGCGCGACATAGAGTGGAAAATTCCAGGAATTACTGAAATTCCGTAGTTTCCCAGAGGCGAAAAGAAACGTGGGTGAAACGAGGGGGCGACGCAGATGACGTTTCCTCGACGCGCTCGAGAGAGAAAGGAAAGAAGAAAAACGGAGGCTAAGAAAGATAGATAGTCGGGCGAATAGGTGGAAAGAGAGAGGCGAGATAACTGGCGCCAGCGCTAATAATTTCATAGTAGGTAGCCGTTGCGAAGGCATGCGCACGGCCTCCTAATCGCTGCTATCGTTTAATCGCTCGAACGTATACGATCGACAGCCACGAGTATACCGCACCAGGAAACGTAGCGCAAAAACCGGCGCCAACAACGATCTATCTTCGAGATCGGTTTCGCGCGAAAAGTCGCGCGCCGTGCGTGACGCTCGTGCATTTCAAAACAATTTTCCGTATTAATATTTAATATCCACTCACACCTTCGACCTTGCGATTCAATTAAGATTTAAATTATAGGATTGACATTCTGAGTTTTCTAATTTCATTTAGAAACTTATTTCATGGAATCATGATTAGAAACGTGCATTAATGTGATATTCGTGATGTCATAATTATGTTATTAATGTATATTACGCATATACGCAGTATATTATGAAGTTATAGCGATCAATTATAGTGGTAACGGTAATAATTTATTGTCATTAGATTCTTTTAAACGAGTTTCACCTTCGATCTCGTTCATTTCAAATTAACTGCAAGATTCTCAACTTATCTGTTTCATTAATTTATTACCTTTTGGAAAATACAAATGTTTTACAATGAATAGCGAAATTCTATTTTTCGATCTCTAAATTGTTATACAAAGCTCTCAGCTTATTTATCAATTTTCCTATCTACTGAAAAAATCAAAGTTTCTGTAAGTTTTCACGGCATTAATCTATATGGAGTATATACGATAGTCTTTTAATTCAACGAATCTTTCCAATTCACATTCATCTTTACGTATATTTTCTTTCATAACAACGTTTTAGGCATTGTACTAAATTCAACCATTTTATTACGAGACTCGCGTAAATGTTTACGGGAAGTACACAGGCTGCATTTTTGTTTAGCGAGGTCAGTCATAAAATGAAGTTTAGACAGACCCTCTGACCACTGTGGTTGAATGAAAACTGCGTATCATCGTTCAAAAATAAAATCCAAGTCGCGAAATAACGTAGAACAGGCGTCGAATGCGTCAATTACGAGGATTTTCAAACTCTTACCGCATTAAACTTCGTAAATTAAATTTATGTTACTGCGTTAAACTATATAATCTACGTTGATACACTGAATGTGCTTTTATTTTCAATCGATATTAACGTTAAACTTTTTTCCATGAGATAAAAGTAATACTATTACTTTCTCATGAAAACAGCATTTTTTTTTTTATATTGTATAAAATAATTCTCGTGTTAATAACAAGTTTATTAAACAAACTGTAATCTCTGAATGTCATTACGACGTTAACCTGCAATAATAAATTACATAAATATGTACTCTAATTTTACGACTTACGTTCGATACAAAGTAGAAACCGGACAAATTTATGAAGCAACTTAATCTAGATCCAAACTACAATCAATTTATATCTCCCTAATAAACATCCGAGCTAATCAATCAAGCAAACCAAACTCCATAAAATACCACGAACAACGAAACAGGACGAGGCGTGAATCGTAAACGCGCGTGTTTGCAGATTCTCGTGCCTTCTCTCGAGTCCTCTCGCGTTTTCTAGCGATCGCGATTCGTCCCCGCAAGCAATCGTCAACTATAATTAACATACTTTTTTGCATGCTGCCCACGGGAGCCGGTTTGCCGTGAAAAAAATCACGGTAATTAAATTACCGAATAAAACATCCGCATCTTCTCTCCTCCTCGCGAAAAAAGAGCGCAAATCGAGCGCACCAAGTCAGGCTGCAAGACGTGTCACGCGAACAGCGGAGAGGGGCCAATAAAATCACACGTCGATTCCTCCTGCTCCACATAACGAAAACCCTCGTTTTGCTCGTTTGTTCGTATGATAGCAACGGACGTTTCTGAAAAGACGAAAAAAAAAAGAAAATAAAAAAGAAAGGAAAAAAAATCGATCATTCGCTTTACACGCCGCCGTACGATTCCCGTGAAACTAGGATGACGACGAAGCGGAATCGTGATCGCCTGTAATTGGAATGCCATCCGGGCGGCGGCGGTCGATTGATGAACGACGAACGGACCGGCTGTGGATAGTTATCGTGCATCTTCCTCGCGAGCGTAGACGCGAACTTGCACGCAGGAACGCGTGTACGAACCGAGTGCAGAACCGGGCGAACGTTGTTCAGGCTACAGGATCGTTCAATAACGGTGTTTGTACCGTGCAACGGTGGAAAAAAGTCACCCGTATAGATGAAATATTTAGCGATCGATTTAAATTTCTTTCTCTGTATAATTTTCGTGATTTTACTTTAGTGATTTACGAAACACGTTTCTATGTGTGAGGCGGAGCCATATTAGATAGTGGATGACACGATCAGTCCAATTAGGTTCACGAAGATCCATGATCTACACGCACGCGTGATAATTAGATACTATTAAGTCGATTAGAAAGTGAATATGTACTTTTGCGACTGCGATGCGGTACAAAAGCAATGCCATTTGTACTTTTGCAGCAACGTTGACAATTTTCTAAGTGTTCTGCAGATATAGTAGAAAAGAATTTCGTTGAGAATTGTTCTTGTTCAAAATTGTCGATAAAATAGCGTACCAATGGGAGAGGAAGGAAGTAATTTTTTTGCAAATAAAGCTGATTAAAAAGTAACGTGTTTCAATTCAATGGGATTGATTCAGTTTGTTACGAACTTTCAAACGAAAAAGTGTACTGTGCAGAAATAGCGATGCTGGATATTTTTGTTAATTCTACCAATCTTAAAGACAAAAGTTTCATGTAAAATCACATGGGAAAACATACGAAAGCAGGAACGAAACTATAGCATTATAGAAATATAGTGATCATTTGTTTCTTTTTTTTTAATTTCATTTTACACGATAATAAGAGACTTCTTAGGTTTTTATATCTTCTTAAATTTGTATGCTGCATAATCTACGAACGTAGTGTAACGAGTAACACATATACATATCAGTAAATGTACAGTGACGCGCAAGGAGAGTGTGTTACAACGTTGTCATTACTATGTTACAGCTTCTTCCGCTATTAAAAGGAAAGTTTTATGCGTGATCCTGCGTAAGTTCACAGACAGGAAAGCGTATAAACGCGACAAGAACAGCGCCGAGCGTTTATACAGGAGAAACTACAGCGCCCTCCAAAACAAAGGTCTGAAATCTAAATTCTTCCACTTTCTTGTAATTTCCCTCGTTATTAGTGGAAAATTTTCAGTGGATCTATCCAAATTTACGTGTAGCGAAACACTGATGCAGCTACCACACTACAGACTACAGATACTAAAACTACAGCAATTCAAACGCGCGAAAATAGAATGCACAAGAATAAGTGAGATTATGGGAAAAACCAAACGATCTCTTATCCTTACTTTGTTATGGCCCTTTCCGCTATTACGAGCAAGTTTTGCTTTGATTCTGCCTAAATCCGTCTGCAGAAAAGCATACAAACGTGACAAGAAGAACAACGTACGAACGAACGTTTACGGACCTATAGAGCCTTTCAAAAACAATATCTCCATGTGTAATAATGTATTTTCTTAAATCCGCGCGAACTTATACGCGAACTATATGATCACATATACAAATTACAGAGAATTAAATGCAAATTACCGAAACTAGAGGCAAGATACAAAGAAGGAACAAAAGTTAAGGCAAAAGGGAAAAAAGGAGGTTAGTTTTGGTGGGTAAAATAATATCTCCTGGCGTCCCAATTTCCTCAAACCTTCGCGAGCGTATTCGCAAGTCACACCGACGAGTATTATAGAGAACGAAATTAAGTTTAGCGCAACGGGGTTAAAATTCGTACAAAAGACAAGCGACGAAGCGAAAAGAAGGAAAGAAGGTTAGTTTGGGTGGCAGCGCGCGCAAGGCCGACCGCAAAGAACGGTGAGGGGAGGGAACGTTGGATGCACGCGCAAAATAAACGCGGTCTCGCGATCGTATAAATAAAAGCGTGGTGGCGCGCGTGCAGCGGAGATCTCTTGCTGGCGCGCGCGTACGCCCGGTGTGTCGCTTTGGAATCCAGTTTGCCGGCAGTTTTTGCAAAACTCCCGGCGGCGTGCACGTCCGGAGCACTGATTCCTGGACAACGTGACGCAATTATGCAACGTGCCACTCTTTGCCTCTCTTCTCTCCGTTCCTCCGTCACCGTTCGATACCATCGCTGACCTTGAGGCCCTCCGAACACCAGGCTGCTCTTCTAGGTGGCCTTGCCCGGTTCATGCGACCACTCGCCGCATCACGACGCGACCCTGGCCTCGGTCTTAGCCTCTAAGCGCCTGCTATATGGCTGGTTATTGAAATAAATCGGCATAACGCCTCGTTCCCGCCCCCTTTATTCCGATTTCGTCGTATAAAACGATCTTACCGTGCCTTCGAGTGAAACGACGCATCATTCTACCAGGGGATTAAAAGAACGAACGCAACCAGGGGATAAACGCAGCGTGGAATTCGGCATTTATCCGGTATTTACGCTTCGTACACCGATAACATACGTAACAGTTCGGTGTACGGATTTCTCGGACACGCTAACGGGCCAAACAAGCTAATTTAATCGATCGTCCAAACGCTCGAAGGGTTGTTAAGAACGAGACATTATTATCAACGCGAGACGCGTCGTGCAGGCTCCC